TCCTCTACCCACGGCTTCTGGGGCAGGTCTGCCCCTTTCCTTTGATTTTTTCTTGGATTTAGGGCCTCAAGGCCCTAAATCCAGATGACAGAGGCCTGTCACTCCAAGCCAGCTCCCAGCCCTGACACCGCTTCCTTCCATCAGAAGAATTCTAGGAAAGGGCATCCTCATGCGATCTGAGATGAGAATCATGATGTCTTGGGGGAAAGCTGCCGGCAAACAGTGGCTGTATTTAGAAGGGCTGGTTTTAAGTGTCTGCCAATTAGCCTCATCAATGGATAAAACTTCAGCCCAGTCAGCCTCTCTCCCGCACCCAGCTGCTGGAGGCTGGAAAAGCTGCCAAATAACCAACAGTTTAACCTTTCAGAAGCAGCAAAGCTCTTGACATCGCTGGCATGTTCGTGTTCCCCCTCCCCCAAAGGGGGGGTGGGAGGAAAGGCTGGATTTAACAACTCCCTGGCATGAGTCACCAAGAATGGGGGAAACAAACAGGCACATGAAAGTCACAGAGCCAAGTGCTGACAACCTGGCTCAGGCAAAACTCCTGATGATGAGAGATGGGACCCTTAGCACTTTTTCCTCTCACTGACTTCGGTGGGAGCATTGCCTAAGTGAGGGCAAGGGCTTTGTCACCCAATTATTAGAGCTAGTCATCTGCAAAGCAATGTTCAAAGAACAGGCCAGATTTTTATTTCTGATCCACCTCCTATGCCCCTCTAAAGATCTAACTGACCAATGGAGAATTCTCCTTCTAGGGCAGGGGAGCTCTCAGCATAAAGCCACTCCTGCACCAGCTTCCCCCCACTATAACAGAGCGGGCACATGAAGATCAAAGGAAAACAGAGAAACCAGAAACACCAGGTGGAGCAGCTATGGAAGTGAAGCCCTTGGAGAGCAAAGGGCTATGGCTGGGAAAGGAGGAGAAGGCAACCCAAAGTGACAATTGGTCAAAGAAATAAAAATCAAGGGGAACATCCACGGTCAGTGTGTTTGCTTAGTTTAGAGAGAAGAAGAATGGTAAGGGGACAAGATAAAGTAGACAAACCAATGAATGGTGGGGCTAGACAATGAAAATTCTATTAAAAGAAATACTTTTCACCATAGATAATTAACCCGCGGAACTCACCACCACAGGACATGATAGAAATCAAGAGTTTAAGAAGATTAAAAAAAGAGGAGCCATTTGTCTGGATAATGAGAACATGGATAGCTATGTTAGGATAAATTTAAAAATAAGTATAAACTGTCATGCTGCAGGGCACAAGCCAGACATTAACTGAGGAGAGTTAGGGAGAATTTTCCCTTAGGAGCAGATTGTTCCAAAGTGTCCACTATGTGGTTCTTGCCCCTTCCTCAGGAGCAGCTGGTACTGGCCAATATAAGAGACAGGGTATTCAGCTAGAGGTTTCACTGGCCAGTTCTGGTGTGGCCCTTCCTGCAGACCGATATGGCGTTAATCGACATATTATCTGATGTCGTATATATGAGTAAACAAGAGCTCCCAGGTCAAATGAGAAAAAACTAGAGTTGAATGAAAATTTTCCATTGAAACCTTTTTTCTTTTTAATTGCCTTTTTTTCTAAATGAAAATTTTCACAGGAAAAAAAAGACTTGTGTGAGAAACTTCCTGGTTTTCAATGTAAAACTGGAAAGTTTTTAGTTTTTTCCCCCACAAATGGAAAACCATTTAAAACCAAATTGCTTTCAAAAATGTTCACAAAAAACATCATTTTCTGAGCAGCTCTAGAAATAGCTCAGTAATGGTGGGTCAAGATAAGGAGAATAAAAAAAGAGAGGGAATGCAAAGCCGATTTGCTCTAGGCACTAGAATAATGGGTCTGCCCATTTTTAAACCAAGAGTGCGTGGTAAAGGCTCTCTGGAGTGAATGACTCAAGGTCTTACATAAAACAAATGCTTCTTTCACACAGAGTTCACTGACTCATTTGAAGGTCTAAGGAGTTGGATTAAGCATAAAGCAACATTTTACATATATGTTCCAGGGAGAAGTGGAATGTGTTGCACTGGAGACCAAGGAAAACAAGTCATAGAAACCCTTGACTTTGATAAAACTCTACAGGAGTTAAGGGAGAGGCCTCTTACTTTCACAAGATACTTAGGCAAAAGTTAGACCCTACCACGAAGAGCCTGCAGAATAGCCAGAGCTAGAGATGTGGGCGTAGGAGGTCAGATTGCGGAGCTCTTGTTGACTCTGGTGAGCACTTACTCTTTCAAAGGGTCCCGGTGAAGTCCTTGGGACTGTGTGAGTAATTGCTCACCAGTGGGAGGAAGAGGTTCTAAGTCTGACCCAGGGTTATCGGAAAGCCTGCGTGGTGCTTACCCCGGCCCCTTTACTCCTTTTGAGAAGTACTTTGCTCCACAAGTAGGACTGCTCGTGTGGGTAAGGGTGTTAGAATCTAGCCCTTATGTAGCTGCAGTTCTGTTTACTCCACAGAATTTAAGCCCAGTCCTGCTGTCAGTGAAATCACTTAGGCACACGTACACCTTGGTAGAGCTGGTGCAAATAGGCCTTCGGGAGTCTAAAGCTCTGTCTATACTGGAGTTTTTTGGATCAGTGTAGCTATACCACAGCCAATCCTCCCTGTGCTGGGGCACTGCACTGGGGAAAGACAGGGAATGCACCAGTGCAATTTATCTCAGTGAATCACTGGGGTAAATCACACCAGGACAAGCACTGTTTTCACCAGTGCATTGTGTCTACATTAGGGGTTTGACTTAAAGTAGCTACATCTATGTAGCAGTACCTATGCACTTTTCCATAGACTAGACCAGCCCTATTAACTAGTATAAAGGAATCATAAGCTAATGAATGTATGGGGGTCTAATTTGCACCACTCTGCATTGCACCTGTGCATTTTGCCCGGGGTACTCCCAGCTACCACAGTGGGATGGTAGCACCGCTTTAGCTAAGGTTGAGACTGGCTTACTGTTTAATGGCTGATTTTTCCTGGTGCTGTAAAATCCACATGTTTACTGAGATTGCCTTGAAATTTGCTGTGCCTAATGGGGATCTAAGGTAGGGTCAGTGAGCCATATCTGAGGTTATTTGGCAAGGAGTTGCTAAAATACAGCCTCTGCCCAAAAAGTCAAGTGACTTTTACGGTTACATTTTTCTGCACACAAATGGGACTCAAACTATGATTTTGACCCCTCCCCCCAACTGATATCACCCACTTGGGATTGATCTGAGATAGCAGACCTCAGCACTGTATTTCCTAGTTTTCAGAGATTTAAGTGTAGGTGCATTAGATGTTCTGGAGGCATATGGCACTGCCAGTCAATCTTAACTCTGCATTTGATTTACTGCAAAGAGGGACTTGGGGGCAGTAGCCACATGAGTTAAGGTTGTAGTTAGATATTGTGTTGCGTATGTTCCAGAGAGAACATTTACTGCTAAGTATTATGACAGGTTTCAGAGTAACAGCCGTGTTAGTCTGTATTCACAAAAAGAAAAGGAGGACTTGTGGCACCTTAGAGACTAACCAATTTATTTGAGCATAAGCTTTCGTGAGCTACAGCTCACTTTCCACAGTATGCATCCGATGAAGTGAGCTGTAGCTCACGAAAGCTCATGCTCAAATAAATTGGTTAGTCTCTAAGGTGCCACAAGTCCTCCTTTTCTTTTTGCTAAGTATTAATTAGCTAGCTTCACTTCCTCTTCTCTGAGAGGCATCATAGGGGAATCAGTGGATCATAAGTTTTTGGCTTAAGATACCAAACTGAACCCTCCTTATTACCTGGGTTCCCTGTAATAACTGCAGTAATCTAGGAGAATAGAATGGATGGGTGCCCTGCTAAACTGCTATAGAAAGGATTCAAAGGAGACCAGGCCAGGCTAGGTTTAAAATGGTTCCCTTTATTTTGAGGTCCGCTGTGTCTTTTAGCCACCACTGCACGTTGGGGATGGTGTGAGTGGTGCCATGGTGTTTAGCTTGAAATGGTGGTGGGGTGCGCAGGAGGTGATGGTGTAGAAGCAGCAGTAAGGTTGGATGGAGATGGAGAAGTAGGTGATGGAGGGTGTGTGATGGAGACTTTGGGGGGACTGAACAACTAGGAAGGAGATCTTAGGCTCTGAGATGTGGGGTGGGACCTGGTTGGATGGGGAGTTGCAGGGCTCTGGGACCTTTGGCTTGTAGGGGGTTCTAGGACATGTTGGATTTCAGGGTTATGGAGCTGGAATGGAGTGGAGGCTCAGTAAGGCTCAGGGTCTGTGGCAATAGAATAGGGGATTATAGGACTAGGGGGATTAGGAAGAGAGGTGAGGGGTTATAGGCCTTTAGTGTTTGAAAGCTCGTAGTGGAGACTGGGGGTTGTAAGTCTTTGGGGAATTATAAAACAGTGAAGATTGTGGATTATAGGGCTCTATGGATAGCGGGGTGTGGGAGATTTATAGGGTTTTGGGGTAAAAGGGATTATACCACTTGGGTTTGGAGAAGGGTTACAGGTCTCTAGGAGTAGGAGGGAGGTTGGGGGTCAAAGGGATTATAGGGCTTTAGGGATAGGTGGGAAGAGCGGGGGCCGTGGGGATTTAGGGGCTCCAGAGGGCATGGTTATAGGGCTTTAGGCATAGGTGGGGGTCATGGGGCAGTGTTAGAGGGCTCCAGGGGTGGGTGGGAGTTATGGGGTTGGGTCATGGGGCTCTAGGGGTGGGTGAGGCTCGTGGGGCGGGGTCAGAGGGCTCTGGAAGTGGGTGGGGGTCCTGGGGCGGTGGGTGGTGTCGGAGGGCTCTGGGGTGGGTGGGGGTCGTGGGGCGGGGTCGGAGGGCTCTGGCGGTGGGCGGGGTCAGAGGGCTCTGGAAGAGGGCGGGGTCGGAAGGCTCTGGAAGGGGGCGGGGTCGGAGGGCTCTGGCGGTGGGCGGGGTCAGAGGGCTCTGGAAGAGGGCGGGGTCCGGAAGGCTCTGGAAGGGGGCGGGGTCGGAGGGCTCTTGGGGTAGCTGGGGCTCACGGCAGCAATAGAGCGCGAGCGGCTGCGCGGAGTCCCCCCGGCCGCAGGGGTCGCTGTGCCCCGCCCGCCCAGCCGGTCTCCGCCGCGGACTCTCTTGCTGGCTGGGCCGCGGCCGCCGGATCAGCCCCTTTTCCGGGTTCGCTGCGCTGCGCTCGGGGCCGGCTCAGGCTGCCGCCGCCGCCGCTGGGGATCGGGCCTCGGGCAGAGACCGCGCGGGACCCGGAGCCCGGCCCGCCAGCCCCGCCCCCCCCCGCCGGGCCGGGACCGGCCCCCCCGCCCCGCTTCCCCCCCGGGCCGGCCTGGCTCTGCTGCCCCCCGCCGCCGCCCTCCTGCGCTCCGTGCCCCGCCTCGGCAGCCCCGCCGGCCCCCTCCGCCGCCGCCTCCTGCAGCCGCCCCCGCCGCTCGCCCCCGCCATGCCCGGCCCGGCCGCCGGCAGCAGGGCCCGGGTCTACGCCGAGGTGAACAGCCTGAGGAGCCGCGAGTACTGGGACTACGAGGCGCACGTCCCGAGCTGGGGGTAAAGCGGCCCCCGCCCCGAGCCGGGCTGGGGGGGGCTGGGCTGAGGCGCAGGGGACTGGAGGGAGGGGGCTGGGCCGCAGCAGGGGGGCTGGGCCGCTGGGGACCGGGAGGGTGCAGTGGCGGGATTGGGCTGAGACGCCGCGGTGGGGCCTGGGGTGAGGTGGTGGCCGGGGCTCTGGGAGCTGGTGAATGGGCGGGGGGGGCGCAGGCTGGAGATCCTCCCCCCAGTCCTGTCTCAGGGAGACCCCGCTGCTGCCACCCACACTCCGAAGCGGGAGCAAGGGGGAGCCCGATATGCGGAGCCTTCACCCCTCTGCCAGACACAGGGCCGGGGGGTGGATGGGACCTGCCCCCCCCCATGACCAGATCTTAGGGTGGGTGGTGGAGTCTGGTCCCGAGTGCGCCCCAAGGATCTGCATTAGGGGGGTTGGTACTGCCCCTCATGGCACTGGGAACCTGCCCGCGAAGCCCACCCCAGAAACAACCTTGCAGTAGACTCGGTGAGAGCAGATGCCCAGGGGTGGGTGGAGATCTCCGAGCTGCCAGAGTCTCTCTTCCTTCCTGAGAAGGATATTAAAGGCTGGGGAGAGAGCAGGCTCAATGGGGGAGGGGGGGTGTCACAGTGCCCCCTCCCCTCTTCTCTGTGGGGCTGTGTGACAGAGAGGAGATGGCTGTGGGCACCTGTGCTGCAAACTGACCTATTTGATTAAAGGCTTTTCTCAACCTAGAGAGGGCCTAGAGAGACTAGTTAGGGGATGGGTTTGCAGAATGTAGCTGTTTCAAGCCTGCCCCCTCACCAGGAATCAGATCACTTAATGCACAGAGCTGTCTCCAAGTGCTTTGGATGCAAAGGGCTAATCGGGCAGGGAGGAAGGAGAATTCCAGCCCAGTAGCCTGTCAGTTATTTTCCTTCTCGCTGTCCACAGTAATCAGGACGATTACCAACTGGTTCGGAAACTCGGCAGGGGAAAATACAGCGAAGTCTTTGAGGCTATAAACATTACCAACAACGAGAGAGTGGTTGTGAAAATCCTCAAGGTGAGTGTCCAGTTGATGATCATTAGTCTTTTTTGAGCTGGAAAAGTGTAGGGAAGGGGACATCTTGCTAGGTTTTTCGGGGAGCGTGGAGAGGTCTTAGGTCTCATTCAGTGTCTCATAAACCTGGGTTTCAGCCCTGCCCCCTCTGATGTTGGGGTGCTGGATTACATCTCTGGAAACATATTTTCAACTTGTATCTGTAGTGATGTTTTAATCTTTCTACCCTCCCACCCTGGGTAGTAGGAGTCATGGGGTGCTTGTCAGATTGAGACTGTGAGCTCTTTGGGACAGGAATGCTGTGCGTCCTGATGTTTGAATGAGACTGATGTGCTGTCTGCACTTGGTAAATAATATCTGGCAATGTTTGTCTAAAATGGCATGTGAACTGTCCTGTCAACAGTAATGTGAAGCCTTGAGGGGGAATCCTTCCATTAACCTTTAAATGATTGGCATTTAACTGTGACAGAGCCAGGCTGTATAGATTTCTGGGAAAGCAAACTAAGTCTTGGACTTGGTACTCTAGAAAGTGGCAAATTCTTGGGTATTTAACATTAGTAGTAAACATAATTGAAAATCAAGGCAAAGGAGGAAACTTGTTTACCATCGCTCACTGCATGGTATGTTCTGATCTGGTAACATCCCCATGATAGTGGCACGTTAAAGACACAACTACAGAGGTAGCTATTAAAATCCTAATGGTTTGGGACAGCCAAGTGCTCCATAGTGGCATGTGGGGAGTGCAGTTTCTGATATCTGCGAGCACTGGAAGCAGCATGCTCAGCCTATGAAAGGACCAATAACTGCATTATTTAGCAACAGACCATTCAGCTGATTAAGGAAGGATATTAAAGGGGAGAGAAATAAGAGACTGATGAATTAACAGAATGCTTTGAATCATAGAATCATAGAATAGAATCATAGAATATCAGGGTTGGAAGGGACCTCAGGAGGTCATCTAGTCCAACCCCCTGCTCAAAGCAGGACCAATCCCCAATTAAATCATTTGGCTTTGCAGTGGTTGGCAGCTGCAGTCCTTGTCCACCATCATTTTCTTGCTTTCCCTCCTAATGTACAGAAGCCCGCTTCCAACACTAGAAATGCTGAGAACTCCGACATGCATCAATCCTCAGTGCTACAGTTGGGGAAGGCTGGCTGTACTTAAGGAGTGGCCCCTCAGCCGCTGTGGCTAGTAGCTAACTGCCATACAGGCATGGCTCTTTTTGGCAGAGCAGCATGTATCTGTCAGCCTGCGAATTGGCTACTAGGTCTGACAGAGTTTGCTCCAACAAAATCCCCTTGGTAGCCCAGGCTTCTCTGATTGCTTGGCTGGCCAATAAGCATTGGCTCTGATCCTTTCCTTTCTCCTTCAGGACCAGGTGGTCTGCTCATCCAGGGCCTCTGATTTCTTAACTGGGGTTCAGAATTAAGGTGGCAGTGATCTGAATCTTCAGTGAGTGTCTCCACACCAAACAGTTGGCTAGTTGGACAGTATATTCATATGTAGAAGTGAGGCTTGCATGTTGTAGCTGAATTTTTTTGGTTTACTGTTCAGGCCTGTCCCTCCTTTGAATGCTGCTGCCATGATCTACGCATTTGTTTGTCACTCTAAGGGCACAAAAGTCAGCATTTAAAGAGAGAATATTAAAAGGTAGTCAGAGTATAATTGTCATATGGAGAGATGTCTCTAGACTAAGCACAGGAAACCATATGCTTCTGTTTACCACCAGTCTGGCAAATCCACCCTACGGCTTTGGTGGTGGACCTTCAGATGGCTGATCCAGTGCCAGAAGAACCCATGTATCACCATATGCAAATGGGTGCCAGTGAGCCACTGCTGCGAGGAAAGGGTCTTCTGAAATCTTCCTGTCTCTCTTCCTCCCCCTTCCTGCCCAAAGGGCCTGCAGTGGGATGATATCTTCTTCCTGTTGTAGACTGGATCCATGTCCATTTTGGGAGCCTGTCAGCATCACTTGTGAGTCAGTTGGAGAGAGTCATTTGAGCAAGGCAAGGCGTTCCCTTTCCCCAGGGTCTGAGTGTGCTGCTCCAGCAATGCGCCTAGTGTCTGCTGGGCCTGGAAGTGAGATTGAACTGTCAGTGTGTTTTGCTGCCCTTAGGCCTCAGGCTGACATTGTTCACTTCCGTGTGTAAACAGCATTCCTGGAGTCACATTGTGAAAGCAGGAAATACAGGAAGATAAAGATGAGCTTTCTTCAAAGTGGAAACTGGATCAGTAAAAGGCAACTTTCAGATTGCCACCTTGTGTGTGATGCAAAATCATAGCACATGTAGATAATACATCACAATCTGATCTACATGGATTACTTAGTTTCCTGTCACTACGTCTGTAATAATTAAGCCTATTTGTGTATTCTTGAGTTTTAGTAAATAGGATGCCTCTTTCTGGCCCTCAGAATTCAGCCTCTCATCTGTGAAAGGAAAAATTAAACCAGAATTTAACACGTGCGTGTGGCTTAAAAAAATCACTTGCTGGTGGATAAACCTATTTAGCATCTTAATTTTTTGTCACATTTCTTGCAGTGCAGAGCTGTTTGTATGTATTGCTGCACCCTCTAATGGGGTGCTCCCCTAGTCCTCGTTCAGTGTGCAGCTTGACACAGTGCTTCATGAACTAGACAAAAAGAACAGGAGGACTTGGGGCACCTTAGAGACTAACCTATTTATTTGAGCATAAGCTTTCGTGAGCTACAGTTCACTTCATCGGATGCTGTAGTTCACGAAAGCTTATGCTCAAATAAATGGGTTAGTCTCTAAGGCGCCACAAGTCCTCCTGTTCTTTTTGCGAATGCAGACTAGCACGGCTGCTACTCTGAAACCTGTTAACTAGACAGGTGTTCAATATTTTTACCGTCACTGTTCAATACAGCCCCATGTCTTATCTGCTGTATGCCACACTGCACTGATGTATTCTTTATAGGCTTTTCTGTGGCTCTTACCACCGTAATGGCTGAGTTCCTGACCTCACCCCTGTGATATCAGGAAGTTTTATCGTGGTTTCTCAGATGCAAAACTGAGCTACAGAGGGGGTGGGGGGAGAGAGAGAGACTTGTTAGAAGTCACACAGAAAGTCTGTGAAAGAGGCAAGAATACAGCCTAGATTTCCTAAGTCCCAGTCCTCTGCCTTAACCATTCTTCTCCCATAGCCTCTTGCCTCATTTGGTACATGCCAAATAGCTTTTACAGTGAATGAGGGCAGGATGCTGCGGGCTCCAACTTCATTTCAGGACACACCATACAACTGTGGTGAATAAGGCAGGATGCTCTGGACCATGTCCTATTTCACTACAAAACCTTGCCTCATTCACTGTGAGCCTGTCATTAGATATTGACATAGTGCATCTGCACAAGACTGTGCCGGCAACCTTAACTTTGTCACTTCCTGGCTTTTGAGTGCTTCACTTGCCAACCTTAATGCTCTTTTAATGTAACGTTTTTGAATGAAACGTCCCAAGTGTGTGTGTGTGTGTGTTTTATTTTAAACAAACGAAGAAAGCAAGTTCCTCCAGATCCCACTGTAGCTCGACAACAATTAAATGCTCTGTGGTGCACAATATGTACAGTCAGTGAGTCGGAAACCCTTGCCTTGTCCCATGTGCGCTTTCAGAGATCACATTCCACAGCAATCAGCTGTTAAAAGTGAGTTCCAGTTGCTTGGCCTTTGCACTCTTCCAGTGGTGCAAAGAATCTGTAAGGCCACCCGAAGCAGGCACCACCCATGAACCAGGCTGCTGAGGGTTTTCCTAGTATGGAGTATTTTTTGGGTGATGTACCTACCTCTCTGCCAGCTTAGGGTGTGTAAGGCGTGCCCTTCAGTGTAGGGGAATATGGTTAGGGTGCTGCTGTGCTCCGGTGATTTCCATCTAGTGTAACTGCCTCTTGGGGGGGGGGGGGGCATTAGCAATTGAAGTTAGAACAGCCTCAGGGATGCTCTAATTTTATGGGAAGGGCCAAGCCAATCTGAGGATCGAGAGACATGCAAAGATGGCACATGGCCACCGTTGCCTCCCACTCAGGTCCTATCCCAAGAACAGCTCAGCCGGAGCAAGGATTGAGCCCTGAAATTCTGCTGCACAGCCAAAGGAATACCAGGGCATCATCTATTTGGTGCCAGTTCCCGTTATGTAATGTGCATACATATTCTCAATGGAATATCAGAGTTATCTAACATAATCCAGTGCAGATGTCCAAAGTCTGATTTGATTTTTTTTAAACATCATAACTCAAACCCAGTCAAACTGGATTTTCACTGGACCAGGGAAAGGACCATCTACAATTTACGTGCTGTACACCTGCCAAATTTCAAGTTTTCCATCACCTTCTGCTGAGTTGCTAAAGCTATTTAAAAAAAAAAAACCCCAAACTTGGCTGCAATCATTTTTTCTTAATCGGGGATGGGGATGGGACACTTTTTTCAATCCCTCTGTGCCTGAAAATGGCTCGTCTGTTTTGCCTAAAACCTCAGGGAGCCCGCCCTCCCCTTTTCTGAAAGTAAGAACAAGCATAGCAAATTGCAGCCCCAAAGTTAAAAATTCGAGAAAGTTACAAATGAGTGAAAGAAGATGAGAATAGTTGGGACCATTCTAGTTAAAGTTGCCAGTGCACACCTTCTATAGTGTCACTTCCTTGTTGATTTTCACAGCCTATGAGTTTGAGTTCTCTCTTGTGCCTGTTATCTCTAATACTGGTGTCTGCCCAAGGCAGTGACTGTGTGTGTGTATCTATCTATACATCTATCTGTAGGATTTTTTCCCATTTCTGTTCTCTCTAGATTTGTATATTTTGTTCAGTGCGCTGTGTGTTTTCAGACACATAAGGGAGAAGATTCTTCCCCTGAGGCGTTTACAATCTGAATAGGCAGCACGCGCATGAAGGCTAGGGAAGGGCTGCAATAAAAAGCCGAGGGATTGAATGATGAAGTGTAAGGGCTTGCGTTTCTAGTGAAAATGGAATTGTTCTCTTGCTCGTTTTGATGCTTTCAACCC